TGCAGAATCAAAACTTACCGATGAAAGTTGCAGTGGCACAGTAAATGCTGTTCTATTCACGACCACAAATTAGATCGAAAGTGATAAAGTGATTTTACAGCGTAATTAATCTCAGAAAATTTTTGAAAGAACAACTTCTTTCTTGAGTGAATCAGAAACTTGTGGTTGATATTGACAGTATATTGATCTGATCCTTTGATTTTTCTTCTTGTTTGTTTCACCAACAACCGGAATTGATGAGAACATTTCTTGTGGCATCTCAACGACACCACCTTTCCTCAAAAAACCTCTCCTCAGTAAAGTGATCGACTGAGGATTTACAGTTCCGCGCTTTTGTTCTTGCATAATATGACAGCGAAAAAGGAAGCAGACACATGTTGCCGCAGATATGTAATATCGTGATTGCTGTTGCACCTTAGCAAGCTTTTATTTATTTTTTTCATTTCAGAGTACTAAAGAATGCATTGAACACAAGGCTATATTCGCACATTCGTCACTTCTAAATAGAAACGTTGCAGGAGACACGGTGTCGTGCGTTTCAATGAACGAAAGGGAGCTGTCTGCGGTCATTTCGCACTTGTCGACGGCGGAATGGAGTGGAGTGAGGGAACTGAGCATTCGCCAGACTCCGCTGCTCTCCATCGATGATCTTCCAAAACTGGAGCTTCTAGAGTTCGTCTACAAGATTTTGTTACAAAAAGATAGGAACCTGCAGACAGATATTTATTTGTAGGACCATTGATCTGAGCCAAAATGGGTTCAACGACGATGTCTGGCTAAACTCCAAACGAATATTCCCTGCAGTTCGGAAAGCAGTCCTAGAACACAATAATTTTACGGTAAATCTTGCAAGGAAAGAATCATACAAGAGCAGAAACATTTACCTTCAGCGTGCTGACCGAAAGCTGTTGACTCCTTTCCCCAAGATAGAGGAAGTGCATCTTGGACACAATCACATATCGCACATCGGCTACGATTCATTACGAATGCCTCACATAAGAAGCATACGACTGAACGATAACGTTATACAGGTCGGTCCTGGCACTGCGGCTAACTTACAAATCGAGGGCCTACCAGGAAAAATTTCTTAACGTCCTTGTCTGGGTGTACCAATCATCACGTTGTACATTGAAACAAATACAATGACGAAAGCAGAGTCAACTACGTCGTGTTCAGTTGATGCATAAGACTTGCACCAAAATTATTGCAAACTCTTAATAAATAAGATCGTTCTTTTTGGTGTATTTCAAAAACAAATCATGCGCATTTTAATGATGCTTAGATAAAGATCAACTGTTTGTCATGTAGAAGCGCTACAAGGAGGTAAAAGTTGTTTGGGTTGTGTTTCGCGAGATGATCGCCAAAAGCAGACTTTATTAATAACTCGAAGTCATTT